ATTCCCCCCCCCCCCCTGTCATTTATAATGCTGTATGTAATCATATATTATTTGTTTTTTAAATGCTTTTTTAATTCAAACATATTTGTTATTTGTAATAATAAATTTTCCTGTTTCTTGTGTTGTCATTTTTATTGCTGTATACAATTGTATATTATTTGTTTTTTAATTCTGACATATTTGTCTTTGTAATAATAAACTTTCTTGTATTCAAAATTATATTATGCCTTTAAATAGTTTGTGTAATACGTGCGATTACCTTCTCACTGGATCTCAGAGTAAATCTTCTGTAAATATCTGTAGAATCTGATGATAGATGTTGATCTTTATTTATCTAACGTCCTTAGTACCTGTCACATCGCCTTTGCAAAACACAATTTTTGTTGCATTTTCAATCGCCATTTCCACATTGTTTTGGTTTTTTAAGCGTACTTCAGATTGACCATGCATACTTAAAAAATCTGTGTGCAAACATGTCTTAATTTAAGTGCAGAATACTTTAAGAGGTGTCCGGTAGAAAATGACAGATTGCTCTTGAAGTTTGCAATCTGTGTTGTGAAAACCTTCAAAATCATGTGTTATAACTTTACTTTTTTGTGTCAGTGTTTACACAGGAAAATGTCTCAATTCATCGCCTTTTCTCTGTTGCTCAACTTTATTTTATTGACTAGTCCCTATAGCAAAGCTAGCTTATTAGTCCCTCTAAAGCAAACAAACAAAAAAGTAAATTTGTCTAAAACTGTACAATATTTCCTAAAACTATTATAAATCAAAATAAAAAAAATAGCTATTAACATCATTTTACATTAATAAACATAGGATAAATTAGTTTTAGAAGTGTTTTTTTGTTTTTTGTTTTTTTAAATTTTTTTAAACCAGCTAGTTAACAGCATGTGGTATATTCAGGCCTGGGGGAATAATTACTGTATGCTTCCAACAATGAAAATTATCTTTATAAAATGCCTCTAGTTACAAATGTTTTTCTCTTCTCTATATAGCAACAATGATTGGCTAGAGCAAAAAAAAAGGGGGTTTTTCTGAAAATGCCTCTGGGGAAAAACTGTAATGCCTCCAACTGCCAGTTATGCATTCGCTCACTTTTCTATCCCTGGATATTTAATACTTACCTCCTGGTTACAAAATGTGAAAGATAAAATTGATTTCAAAATATATGTTCTAAAATAGAAAAACAAAATGCTAGAATCGGTATTATTAATTAATGCATGCTAAAGAAAAATCTGTCAAGTTGGTAATAAGAATACCTGGAAAAGCATTACTGTGTATGCTAAAGAGAAGTTTGTACACTATAAGAAAGAAAAACATAATGAAAAACAGCTCTACTGTGTATGCTAAAAAAAAAAAAAGAGATCCATCGAGTTGTTACAAGTAAAGATGCCCAACATTTTAAGAGATCACAAAAATGCTTATGATTTATGAGGCTGTTTAAACATCTTTATCTAATATGTAATGAGAATGACGGCACACACTAGGTAATATAAAGGTGTAGAAGAACATGCATCCTTGTAATTTGATGTGCATGATGTTGAAATATAATTTATATAATAGTTCATTGTATTAAACATAGGTTTTATGTTTTTCTTTGAAATGATAGTGAAAATTAGCTTGATTTTTTAAAGTAGAAATGAATTAAATTTTGAAAAGGTTTTGCGATAAGTACGCTTAAGTAACTCCTTAATATTAATAGAAAGCCATTAGACGAGAAATGGATCATGTTGGGTGAAAGTGTGAATTGTGCATTTTATTTATTGTAATAATAAATTACATTACATAAAGTCAATTGTTTCATCATATTTGACCTCAGTGCAATTTTCCTGTCCCATTTCAATCACCTGTACAGTATTTTATCAAACACCTGTATTTCACCAAACATTACTTCATCAAACACCTGTACTTTGTCAGGCACTTGTATTCTAATAGTGTATCAGTGTATTCTATCAAACGCATATATTTAATCAAATACCTGTATTCCGTCAAACTTGTGTATTCTGTTTAAACACTTGTATTCATAAACGTCTGTATTTATTAACACCTGCATTCATAAACACGTGTTTCGTCAAACATGTGTATTTTTATAAAACATGTATTCCCATTAAATATTTATATTTCATCCAATACCTGTATTATATAAAGTACCTGTTTCCTATATATTCAAATACATATATTTCATCAAATACCTGTATTCTATCAAACATGTATTCCATCACAGAAATTTGCTGACAGGGGGGTCCAACACACTAGAGCCTCGCTCAGGATCCCAGAATAGAGATCCCTGATAGAATTTATGGGAAGAGTTTTTATGGCCCAAATTGTGCATTTAAACCACAATATTAGGGATTGGCAATCAAAATAACGTTTACTTAGATAGGCAAATTTTCTTTGTTCCAACGGCCTCGTCGTCCCATCGAATGACAGTGAGGTCCAGGCCTACCCCCCCCCCCTCACAGGCACCGTCACTGTATCCTATATTCCAACACATACCTTCAAAGTGTTCCTTCATATTAATTGAACGACACTCTTTTAAATTGTAAACATTCTTTCAGGTTTAGCTTTTCAATGAAATCTTTTTTACCATAGTGAGAAACATATTATTCTGTATAAAGCAATGATAATAAATTCTCTGCAATAGTAATCATCATCTGTATGTGACAAGAATATTGAAGTGAACATGAATAATAAATGAACCCATTACAGGTTATTAATTAATACATTTATTTTATTTACTTCCATATACTCAACCATTGCCAAACTAATCTCCAGATTCAATGGCTAAATGACAGATTGCCTCAATTAATCCATCAATTCTAATGGAAAGCACTGTAAAATATTCATAAAATGGCTGCAAATATTATCAAATGTATCCTGTTTCTTCTACTGTAGATTAACAAAATATAAGAATCATAGATTTCATTTCTTGTAAATTTTTGCCAACAACTTAACAATGTAATAATTAATGTAATTCAAAATATACAGTTCAGCCTCCAATTCAAGACCACTTTGGGACCTGAAAATTTGGGGTGGTCTCAGGGTTTAGTTACCACTTTCAGAGGGTTATCTGTGTGTTAAAATATTAATGATGATTATTATTTGGTTCTTTCAAAAAGTGGTCTCAAATTGGGTATCTCTGGGTTAGAAAGGGTCTCGAAATAGAGGGTCCACTGTATATAGTATTTTATATAGTAATTATAATATATCTGTCTTATATAGTGTATTAGTAAAGCTTATGCATATCACATTATTACCTAGGTGATTGGATCTCCATAATGATATTATCAGCATATTATTAGCACTGCCTACTTCCAGTTACCCAATCCTCCAGTGGTGTGACAACAGGGATAAAGTGGCTTGCCAAAGAACATCCAAGTAGCCTCACAGAACCCCTGATCCTACAATTAGAAGCCCAGTACATAAGGTCTCATATCTCTCAATTTGTCTATTCAAGTTGTGTTTTTGATATCCCTGTATATAGATGAGATGATATCATCATGCCCATATATGGATAAATCACTTTTATTTGACATAGAAAACTTGATAGTGTATATGTCTTAAAGCATGCATTGAAAATATTTCTATTAACAAACATGGTTTTAATGTTTATACTTGAGTATCTTCTTTATTTTTTTTAATTTTTTTTTTTTATAGAAGTGTGAATTAAAGTCTCCCCTGAGCCTAATCTCTCACCAAGGCCAGGCTTTTATTTTACCTCAGCAAGTTACAGCTCAGCAAATGCAACAACTTCTCCAGCAACCCAGTGTCATGTCTACTCACCAACTTCAACAACTCCTGCAACTCCAGCAGCAGACATTTATCCAACAACAACAGGTAAGATCACTATAATTACCTCCGCCCTAATTAGATACGCAATTACTACTAATAATAATCCCATAGATTTATATAGCTCCAGTTCCTAAAACTAAGAAATGGATAATCATAAAATTTTGTGGAATGGTACATAATAATGTATTAAGAAAGAGATGATTCAGAAGACAAGGTAAAAATCACAGATATTCAAGTTTTACCTCTCAAGCATAAAAATAAAATAATGGAATCGCCCATACACAGTCTGCGTATTCGGTATTCAAGCACAGGGTGGAGGTATACTATGGAGTGACTGCCTCTAGTTTGTGAAAGTGTTAATTATTACCAATTTTATATCATGCTATGTCCATGAGAAATGATGCCTATGAACCAAGTGTACCTTGTCACCATGAAACCAACTATGATACCGATGAAGCAATGACAATGATCAACCTAATATGCAATAGCATTTATGAACCAACTGTATCATACACACTATGCCATGACTACCAATGAACCAACTCTTACAAGAAACCAACGAGCATGATTGTACCTTTACATTTTTGGACCAACTACAGTATGACACTTGAGAACCATATACCGACGTACCATGTCACTCATGGTTAATGAACCAACTATACCATAATGTACCACCTAGTTCAATCTAACAATATACATACTCTGTACCACAATAACTAACATAAAACTAGTAAACATGATTGTACAATGAAACAGAAAAAACATGGCACTGATGATCCTACTATGTGTGTGGGACATATTTACATACTCTTAACTCTACTGAACACTAAGCAGAATGGTCTGATTGGTCAAACAGTTTGGCTTGACACCTTGGATAATGGAGAAACAGTGCTAACCAAGAATTGATCTGTACCGTTTCAGTAGTATTCCTTTGTGCTGATAAAATTTAATTTTTTCCTATATCAAATATATCGCAGTATAAAGTTGTGTCCACACGATCAAATTTGAAGTGACAAAAAAATGTGACATATCATGCCCATTATGCTTTTGTACTGATAAAATTTACTCGGTACTACATCAAATATAGTTAATAATTGCAGTATAAAGTCCCATCCACACCATCACATTTTAAGTGACAAAAAATTGTGACACAAATTTTGTCACATAAAATTTGATAGTGTGGATAGAGCTGTACAAACTTTCATCCAATGCAAACTACAAACTTGGCATGTGTTTGTTAATGCTTGGTTCATGCTAAGTACAAATACAATAACACCTCCAGCCACCAAAACACCAATTTATCTCATGCAAACCTGGAGTCATTTAGCCCTGACAGTTTATTTACATGACAAGTAGGACGACTTGCTTGCGCTTATATTGATATGAACGAAGGTGTCAACTGTAACAACGCATACACTAGGAGAATCTATGTTTTATAGCTTTGAAAATACCAATAGCTATCTCCATTTCTACTAATTTATTAGACACGCAAACTTATGGATTCTGATGCTAATTAGTTCCACAACAACGACCTATATAAAATTGTTGATCACTTAAGCCTTAGCTTCCCATTTAGCATGCTATAATTGAGTAATTCTTAAAGACTTACGACTTACTACCACCTACAACCATTAGACGCTGCAGTTAGTAACAAGTTGTGAATGCGTGCCAGCCCTCAATCGGGTTCTGTCACTCAGACATATTAAGTAAGTGTCTCTCTCGGTTACTCGTCTTTAGAATGCCATTTTTTATTGAGCTGTTATCCACGGCTATGTATCATGCCTAACGTGTAATGCCCCATTTTATGAACAAACAACCCTCGTAAAATCACATGCATACTAAATATAACAAGTGAAATGACACGTTGGAATCGTTAATTCTGTCGTGTAAGTAGCTCTGCGTTGTGTATGAACCAGTCCTGGAGTGATATCGATGGTGTGCAGTTAATCTTGACTAAATAATATCACCAATAACTAAGCTTAATGATTCCTACTCTTGATGAAATTAAGACTGTAAGTAAATTGAGCGAGAAACAAACCCAGATTCTTCAATTTTTACATGTTCTGTTTAAATGATTAGACAAACTACTGAATTTTCGTCTTGTATTTCATACATCATTTTGTTTATTCTATTTGTTCTTAATGTTTCTAAATGTTTACTTAAATATAAATAACATAGAAGTCATGATAATTATTATTTATTGCAGGTTATTTATTTTTAAGTATCTTATCTAATCACATCGAAGTATAAAAGTTCCTTCTGAATTGATTCAAAAATGTAAGCTCAATCTAGATTTAACTCATTTGGGAATTTTCTTAGTGCTTGATAAAATTGACTTGGATTGACCAGGCAGTTATTCCTATTGTAAAAGAAGTCTAATAGATGTAGACAATAGCACAAAATATGCCTACTCTTGCTCTCGGGTTAGTCATTTGAAAACAATAAGAATTTAATGATTATCAACCTTATTGAGATACATACATATAACGTTTGATGTCCCATTACACAAGACTTACCACAGTACGTGTGATGTAACGCCATAGTAAAAAATAAACTTTGCTCTATGATCATGTGCACAGATTTATGATAACTGTATTGGGAATCTGGAGATCGTGGTTTTGAGTCCCACCCAAGAACAACTTGCGAATTTTTTAACACAAACTGACTATTCAGTACATTTTCACGTCAGGTTGGCTGAAATTACGCCTATACTTGATTCTCCTGATGCAAATCCAGTTGTCTATTCTATCACGACAATAACATTACCATTTGTATTAGAAATGTTACACTGTTACAGTGAATTTTCGCGTGGTCAAACTTTGCTAGACACAAAATATATGATCAATTGAAAAATACGGTATATAAAAAATAATAATAAACGAAGGAAAAAAATTCAATTGTTTTACAGCGGTACCAAACCAAACAGGAAATATGGCTTTTCTTTGGTTTGGCAGACGGATATTACTACTTTGAATTAAGATGAATTAATATTCTATTGTTATGCAATCAGATATCAGTTAGCATGAATTTAATTTTACATCTTGCAAATGACCTGGTGATCCTTAACCACAGGGTAACAGGGGCTAAATGGACCAGTACAACGGGATAACCTCCTACTCGTCTCAAAAGATGTACTAAGTTCTTTAAAGTGCACATGATTTAATACACACTGGGCCTATGGTTTATAGTCCTTTCAGAGAAGACTTATCCCGCCACCAGAACCGTAAGCAAGTGTGCCGCTCGAAGCAGCACCGATGTTATGGCTGTAGGTTGCAAGTTTTCTCAAGATTTCGGACTCAAGATTCACTTTATTTTGTCCAATATAAGAAAAATAGATAAAGTACATTTCATAAATATTGAACAGGAATAAAATACAAAGTATAGAAACAGGAATATTTTAAAGACAGTAAAAATTTAAAACAGCAATGATCTAATAAAACACTAACTTACTGTTGATATAACTGAAGTTAAATATAAAATTGTCTATAATTTAGGGGACTTGAAATATCATTAGTGCCTTATCTTCTTAATAAAAAAAAAACTGCACCTTGGGTCTATTTTTATTTCATATTTCATGCAGTTTGTGTATTATAAATAACTTCACCTGTAACTTTTTAAAGGTGATGATAAATAAAAGATAAAATGGGACCAAGTAATATTTTTGATACCTCATTTAAAACAGATTTACAAGATAGATAAATAATTTATTTTTATGTACTGTAATCAAATATAGTTAACATGAATTTGCAAACATCTTAAAGTTAAATATAGAATTTTCTAGAATTTCATCAATATTAACATATGTGGCAAAGACAAGCCAAACAAGTCACTTATCACAAATCCTGTTCAGAGAAAATGGCCAAAATATGCTGGAATGTCAACATTTTTGAAATCTATTTTATTACGCTAAACTAACCTTTATATCTATATACTGTATCATGCTATGGTGTTATTTTTTACAAGTTTTAACTATTTACTGATGGTTTCTGCCTGAGAAATGCCCAAAATCATAAACTTTGGAAGCTGATTTCTCAAATATTGTTATTTAAACAGCTGTAGGTTTTAAACTCCTGTAACTTCATAACGAAGTGGCGGATTTAACATGATTCTTTTACCATTCTATAACTCTCATTTTACTGTTTAACCCTGTAAATAACTAAAAATGTATTTTTGCGACGAGTGACTGATATATAATAAGTTATTTTTATTTATTTCATATATAATTTACCAAATACTATATATTATACTTTTTATTATATTTATAATTGCTATAGTTTGTCTTTTAAATCAATTTTTTAAACAGATCAATTTTTTTTACTTAAGCTTTGTAAGAGGTGGGATACAGTTAGAAAGAAATACAAAATGTATTGTCTTTTTCTCTAACCTATTCTATATAGAAAGAATTTTTATAATCCAGAGTAAAACGTCTTTACTGAAATATATTTTAGCTTTTTTATATTTTAATGTTTTATTACCATTTTGTAAGTTTCAAAATAAGTTCCTACAGACAACAATTGGTATTCGGAGCACTTCTGTTATCCATGCCATTAACGTACCTGGAATTATTAATGTCGTAACAATTAACATGCTTTCAGTTGGACCTTTTAACAACTCCACTTCCCAAGTCCTTTATTCACATCTGTTTAATTTTAAATGTTACTTTGAAAATGGACTTTTTCTACCAAGGTACTTTAATTTCTTGTGTTATTAATTTTCTTGCACTGATTTTTCCCCGATTAAATCAGTTTTTGATGTTATATATTAAAAACATGGTGCATTTTAAAGTTTAAATCATAGTATCTGTAATAGTGTTCAGTATCTGCAATGATTTTGTTAATATTTTATAATATGATCACCATTTTAATATTTTATTGCTTTCTTATCGTTTTTGATGCGCTATTTTGTACCATTTTACTTCACCCTTGGGAGGTTTTACGGAAATACATAAATAAATAAAAGGAATCCTAATAGAAATAAGCTGGAATGATATTTCCAGTCTTTTTACATTATTCAAGTTATTTTACGCTTTCTGTTACAACATAATATAAAATTAACCTTCGGGTGAGGTAGAATTTCTAAATTTTCAGCAGAGGGTCGGGTGCACTTTTAATAGAAGGGCTAAAGGTGGAGTACTTTGCCGGATTATTAACACATTAGTCAATATGCCAGATACGCACATGCCGCTCCTTGTTCCAAATGGGATGTCTGGATTAAAATTGCACCCAGGTTTTCAAATTTTGCCTCGGATAAACTACACGATTTGAGTACGTTTCCATGACATTCGAGCATCAGCTATTAATTAACTTTCGTCTGTTAATTTCCTAGATTCAGCGGAGAACTATCAGGAATCGTTCTTGCAAACTCAGAATAGCCAACTCATCCTGTCCTAAAATAGTTTGTCATCGTAAACACACAGTTCATACCCTTGCCATTCTAACATTCTTTTAATATTGACATACCCCTCCCGTTCTTATCAAAATAAGTATTAATGATATTGAATTGGTGAGCTACTGGTGTAATGTTATCCAGTGTGCCTTCAATTTCCAAGCTCTGATCTCCCCAGTAGCTAGCTACTCGCTGCCCTATATTCATTCATAATAACTGGGTAGTGTGTTACCATCCATCTCCTTTAACAATCAATCTACTGCACCTATTTAATATCGTAATTTGTCTGGTATAAGTCCAATTTTTAAACACAAGATTAGACAAAATTTTGGGGAGGTGGACTTAATCTGGAGAATCCCTGCTCATTCAAAAGGCAATTTTTCTACACTGTATATTTGAAGCCAGTTTTGGGGGTTGGGTTTTTTTTGTTTAACTGTACTCATTTAAATTATACCCTTGGCTTTTGCTTGGTGACAGGCTGGTACTATACATAAAATTGGACATAAAGTAGGGGGTTGGCTTATACTAAATTTGGGCTTATACCTGAGAAAAACTGTGGTATGTCCTTCTGTTAGCAATCATAAAATAATACATAATGGGGTTTTTCCGTTTCCTTTGATAATAAAATCATCACACTCTATATCCTTTAAGAAAAAGGTTATGACATATTGTGCAAACAAACAATAGCTGTCAATCAATGGGGTAGCCACACCTATGTAAAACTGTAGTACACATTATTAGCTATGGGGTAGCAACTCTTATGTAAAATAGTATGTAATATTTATACGTTCTTCTGTTTCTTCTGGAAAATAATCACACTCTGAATCCTTTAAGAAAAAGGTTATAACATGTGTGCAAACAAATAACTGTCAATCACTAGGGTAACCACACCTACTATGTAAAACTGGAGTACACATTATCTATGGAATACCAACTCTTATGTGAAACAGTACTTAATATTAACATAATGTGGTTCTTCTGTTTCCTCTGAAAAATAATCATACCTTGTATCCTTTAAGAAAAAGGTTATTAAAAAAGCTGTCAATCAATGGGGTAGCCACACCTATGTAAAACTGTTGTACACGTACAAGCTATGGGGTAGCAACTACTATGTGAAACAGTACTTTGTGCTAACATGAAGAACGTGCTATGTGGTGTGATTTGTATACATAGTGTATACCCACATGCATTGCTTATAATTGGAGTTATCCAGATCTGTAGGTTTCCTCAATTTCAGTGATCCAATTTCCTCATCATTTCCTCTGCAGTAATCAACAAGAAGACAACCCAATACATCTCAACTTAGTAGTAGTATAACATAGGCTTTTGTTTTCTTTTTTGATTTTTACCTCCGCCAAAGAGAATATGTATTCACTGCTGTCTGTCGGACTGTCTTTCTGTCTGTCAGCAAGATTGCGCAAAAACTAATGAATGGATCATTGTAAAATTTAGTGGAATAGTACTTACATAATAATCGATGAAAAACAACACTCAATTTTCAGAATATAAGGACAAGGACAGGGTCACAGAAATTTGATTTTTTTTTTTTACCCGCAAACATACAAGCAAATAATGGAATCACCCAACATTAAGGCAGCACTGAAGACAATGGTTGATTCCATTATATTCTTAAGGTTATTCTACAGCACTCAAGAAAATAAAGTGCCGTAATACGACTGGCAATTCCATTATTTTTTTAGTTTCGCACATTATACATGACCCATTAGTGCTGGATTCAGGCACAGTGCGAAGGTATGCACTCCATGGAGTGACTATTTTTTTTATTCGGTTAGGCACAATCTTACAAGTGACATAAAAATTAATGTTTTTAGTATAACCTTGTAAATAAATGATGCTATTTTTGCTATGGTACGGTATGTTCAAGTAAGAAAAATTAAAAATTTAAATTTTTAAAAATCATACAGTATTCAATAAACTAAAATTTTGTTTCTGATCCCTGAATGAACTCGTGGTATTAATTGTGTCATCTGGTTTCCTATAATATCTATTTATATAGAGCGGGATATTTTGACTTGTATCAGTATTGTGATGTCCCTATCCAATCTCACTGTGGCATTGCAGTGTGCTTGTACTGTTGGATTGGATTGGATTTTTTCGTTGTGAAACTTGCCAAAGATGAAGCATTTCCAGTAGGTTCTTTCTGATTAGCGGGATAGGAGACAATTCCCTGCCCTTGTTCTTTAACATGCACATGGGGCGCATTTAGCTTATGTACCTTCCTTCACGCTGTCAATTGTTGTCCATGCTTAGATACCACAGCTTGCACTGTAGACGGGCTGTGAAATGGTTCACTCTATGTTTCAGCCCTAACTAAATGTATTTCATGGCAAATGAAATATTGGCTGCTTGTCATCATCAAGCCATGCTAAACCAATGTATATAAAAAAAAAAACTTGCATTTCAGCCCTCCAGCTGAAACGCAAAGTAGAGCATCAATTAATCCAGGGACCAAAGTTATGTAAGTGTATCCATGGCTCAGTGCATACACTGTATGGCTACCTTGAGTTTAACCGACTTAGCTAAGCTCTCTCAATGTAGTCTCCTATTAATTGTGAACTTTGTAATATTAATATTGTTTGAGTCAGTATATTAATAAACAACGATGGTACATATTTTTATGGTCCTTTTATTTTCTATATGCATGATGCAATATGTAATGAACAATTAGTCTAATGATACATTTTATGATCGGTCATAAAATATCGTTAGGTGAAGCAGCCTTTATGAATTGAGGCAAATAGAAAGGTTTCATATACAGTACCAAAATAATGTATCTGGAAGGGAACCTCAAAATTCAGTCAAATATATTGAATATTGAGGGAATATTATCAACTTAAAATGAGGGACTGGTTGAATAGATTATATTATAGCACCCCCTGGTTGAAACAATGGTTTCTGCAAGTTTAGACATCTCACTATGACAAGTATTTGAACACTAACTAAAATAATTTTCTACAAAGAATATAGAAATATATATTATATGTACCTCTATTATGAAAATTTCTAATATTTGATAATATAAATTTAGAAATTATGCAATTAGATATTAAATTTTATTTTTCAATTTTATTTTCTCAAAGACAGACAGATATCGTTCATTATCAAATCATTTTTTGAACATGTTACATAAAAAAAAATGAGAAATGTTATTTCAATGATTTTGATTATTATGATTACCGTACATTTGAAATTATACACAGGCACTGCATAGACATAAGTTAATACCATTATGTAATTGAAACCATCCAATAATAGCTCAGAAACGATGTCACATGACCTCAACCTGACCACTTACTCTGGTGAAATGGTTTGTAATCCTATCGTGCAAAAAAAATAAGAATGTTCATTTGAGAAGCTCAGTTGAAATATGCTTTAAAAGCCGTCATATTTGTTACTTCTCATTAATAAGGATTCTGGTGCGAGTATTTATTAACTCTATCTAAGAATGTCCTCCGGTTTTTTCCCATTCATGGATAACGCTTATCTTCTGAATTATTTACATGGATATTTGTGCTCTAAGCCACAATATTTTAGCCATAAATATTTATATTTTAAGGTATATACATTTATAAATATGACTCACTTTTAGATGGGCCTGGATATACTTGCCATCCCAAGGGACAGTAACTCAAAATCTAATGTTTATGTAGTTAAATTAATGGGGGCCCGAGCACTTGTATTTCACAGGCCTGTATAAATGATCTGTTATACTGGCCGAATTAGTTTAGTGAGGCACTGTTACAATTGAGTTTAGGTCAGGTAATTCTGTAGAGGAAAATTATCATATCTCATATGAACAGCCCAGTATAAAAGATGTTTTTTCATCAACAAATGTTTTTGAAGGCATGTATCACCGTATTCCCTCATCCTCAATAACTAATTCAATTGTGCTATGTAATATAATTCTATATTTCTTAATTATTGTTGCATATATTTTTGTAGAGAACATGCTGTGATCCTGTATGATTACTATGAATTCTATTGGAATTTTATGTTTGCTGTTATTACCTGTCTTTTGTTCCTTCCTTAGGAATTACAGAAGCAGGCGCAGATCCTCCAACAGATGCAGACAGCCGCCGCTGGAGAAGGCAAGACCAATAAGCTCCAGCAACAGCAACAGCACCACCTCCAAGCTCTGGCCATGCAGCAACACCTGATGTCTCAGACTGGACAGCTTCTCTTACCACAATCTAATCAGGCCCTCCATCTCTCTCATTTAGGACAAGGTAAGCAATCACTACATCTCTTCTTAAAGCCAGACTCCGGGAGGAAAAAAATAATTTTGATATGTTGATTTTTTTAAGATGCAAAAAACTCGGAAACGATTAATGAAATACAGATTTATGAATATTTAAAAACTTGAAAGGGGTGTAGCCGCCTTTTTATCCACCTTTTTGCCCCAGTTTTTAAATATTAAAAAATCTATCTTATTTAACCGCTCATTATTTGTTTGTCAAATATGCTATTTGTGTCAAATTCAATTATACAACATCAAGAAGGATTTTCCTTCCAGAGCCTGCCTTAATAATCCTAACCCTTATTTATGTCACTGGTGATAGTTTTCAGCAATGTGGGTTAAGTAATGCTTATGTTGATAGCTCACTCATGATTTTATGTCAGTGTTATAGCTAATCACAAAATACTATGCTAAGGATGTGTTTATATTTTTTGTATGAAAAGATGGTTGAATATGGGCTTGGCATTCTATTTAATGTTAGCATTTGTGGAAAAGTCGGTTCATGGCTTACGTACAGTAGTCTATTGAAAGATATTGTTAAAATGTCCAGTGCCTTTGAGTTTTTGAAGTCTTATAATTTGTATAGTGCTTATGAAGCATGGATGTTGTTGAGGCCACCTGTTGATCTTATCGCAAATCAGTAGACCGATTCGGTGATGGGCGTCACATGACCTAATTGGGTGGTGTATCTAAAAAATGGCCTGGCAACAGCGGAGATTGCTATGGCGATTGTCCCAGTTTTTGCTTTAAAGATCATCATAATTGCTGTGTTTGTTCTTTTGAACATGATTTAAGTTATTCTAAGACGATTGTTATTTCCTGAAATTCACCACACAAACTTTTTGTCCAAGGAAATTTGAGATTTTTTGACATTTGTTAGGCCTAGGCCCTTGCATACTGTATCTATGGCCTGTTTAAGTATGCATGAGAATCTTGACCCGAGAACTATGCTAAAATTTTTTAGGCACGCTAAGGTAAACCAAGGATCACATATATTACAAAACATACAATGCAAGGAGAATGCTAGAATAAGTAAATAAACATTATATTGAACAATCGTATTGCCTTTCCTTGCCAGGTATTTCTCACGTTAACAGTGGGTGGTTGTTTTCAAAACCAAAACATTACCTTTTACTATACTTTCACATTGATCGCACTGTAATGTTTGACATTGTATACCCACTGTATCACATGACTGGCTGTAAACAAACATCGCCGAATCGGTCTATTAGACTGATCATGTGGTTATTACTGGACTCAGGGTTCCCGGAACGCCACCCTCAGCGGCGAGTGCGAAGCACAACTCAGGGTCAAGTTTGGAACGTGAAATTTGGATAGGGTTTTGTGGTCAGATTTGCGAGAAAATCTTCAGCTACCCGTATTTCTCGACTGAGTCGTCAGTAGGAGCTGTAATTTGTATGGCAAGGAGATTGAGCAACCCTTCATTCATATTAAGGGAATTTATGCCCAGAAACTTTGTAGAATATTAATATTTTGGTTATAATAGAAAATATTCATTTTTTGGTGACGTCACACTCACGTACGTTAGCATGCATACGTCATAAGCTAGATTACGTCACCTTTTCCTGGTAAGGCAAACTTTTTTCATGGATAAACATACATCACTGCTTTGCACATGGATGCCTTGCCCAAGCCAGGGCTACAAGAGCAGCATTGTTAGCATTGTATAATACTTAAATAAGGTACCTCTGCAAATGAATTATTCTTAGTTATTTTTTTTTCTTATTTTAATTTATTTCTTCTGAAAGTGTACTTTCTATCACAAATAATTCCACTGTCTTAGTTAGGCCTAGGCCTAGTCTTATGCCTCATCGTCAGCCGCTACACAGTACATCAGGAGCCCCTCCCCCATACAGTACAGACGTTTGCTAGGTAACAACGTGATTGCACCTTCCTTCCCAGGTGTTCATGTAACATTGACATAATTGTTAGCTAACCAGTTGTGTGTATTTTTTTTGCATCCCCTGTTGGAAAGAGGGATTCAAAATAATTGTCTCCATATCTTTGCTAATTAAATTAATCATCGTAATTTACCGTAGCTTACACTTACGAATTTAGTGCTTAAAATGTAAAATAATCATTTCACTACCCGACAAACTCCGAACTTTATTCATTCATTAGGCCTATATAATAGTTTCATATTGCTGTACTATATACTCCAACAGCACTGGCACATGGTAACAACCAACTGACTGCAGACCATTTCCGGTCACACATTACTCTCCATAACACAGCACCCCTTGTTCCGTCACCTCTGGGTATTGGATGTTAACATTAAGCCCAAACCAATGTGTTTATGCTGGTTTATATTGTTTCTGAAAATATCATTAGAATTCACTGATCTGCATACCGTAATTATATTGTAGGTCTTGAATGCCAGTTTTTGTATTTTAACATTTTCAAACTAAATGTTATGCCTTAAAACTAACCAGCGTATCGATAGATCAATCAATCAATCACTTAGTCTACTCATGTCAGTCAATGTATTGATTGCTTGATTGATCAATGGATAGATCAATCAATTTATTGACTGATTAATGTATTGATCAATCAATATGTCAATTCACAGGGTTTAGCCAGAAAAATGAAATAGGCCGTCCAAAATATGATTTAGTTTAATGCAACATTTGATAGATTCGAAGAATATAAAAAAATTGCTAAAGGTAGACCAGGCCCAACTAGGCTAGGGCGAGCTGACAAGGCCAAACCGTCACGATAAAAGTGGCCGTTCAAATAATTGTTGGCTGTCTAAAAGACAGCCAGACAGCTCTCTAGCTAAGCCCTCACTGATCAACATCATTAGTCAAATTGTAGGTCTTAACTATTCAATGCCAGTCTTTGTATTTTTACAACTCAATTTTACACCCAATAACTAATCATTCTGTGCACAAATCAATCAATCATTCAGTCATGTCAGTCAATCAATCTATCTATCGATTGACTGATTAATGTATTAATCAATCAATATGTCAATTCACTGATCAACATAATTAGTCAAATAGTAGGTCTTATCATTTCAATGCCAGTCTTTGTATTTTAACAACTCAATTTTTATCGTTCTATGGACAGATTAATCATCATGTCAGTCAATCAGTCTATCAATTGACTGATTAATAGATAAATCAATCAATCTATTGACTGATCAATCTATTGATCAATGTGTCAATCTCTTAACCAAAATTATTTTATCAATTTTTAACAACTCAGTTTTATGCCCAATAACTAATCGTTCTATGGACAGATTAATCATCATGTCAGTCAATCAGTCTATCAATTGACTGATTAATAGATAAATCAATCAATCTATTGACTGATCAATTTATTGATCAGTGTGTCAATCTCTTAACTATTATTTTTTTATCAATTTTTAACAACTCAGTTTTATGCCCAATAACTAATCGTTCTATGGACAGATTAATCATGTCAGTCAATCAGTTTATCACTTAACTGATTAATAGATAAATCAATCAATCTATTGACTGATCAATCTATTGATCAATGTGTCAATCTCTTAACTAATATTATTTTATCAATTTTTAACAACTCAGTTTTATGCCCAATAACTAATCGTTCTATGGACAGATTAATCATCACGTCAGTCAATCTGTCTATCAATTAACTGATTAATAGATAAATCAATCAATCTATTGACTGATCAATCTATTGATCAATGTGTCAATCTCTTAACTAATATTATTTCAACAATAAGTTAATAATAATAATAATATTAAATATAATGAATTTATTTAGCAATTAATGTAGAGGAGTGTAAACCCGGTCAAGATTGCTGTACAATTACACCATTTCGTAAGCAGTTACAGTAGAACCTTCCAAAGACACATTTTCAAATTCATTTATTCGTCGTTTAGCTTCTCCTTTGAATGCTTTGCCAGCTGATTGTTTTCTAATTTCCTTTCATCTTGCAAATTTTAAACCTTCTATTAACCATTTTCTGCTTTTGCCATCCTAATCGCTTACCTTAAGTGGCCCTTGGCCTTGTTTGTGATGACCGAACATAAAATACAAAAAAATCAGTCAGCTGGTCAGTTTAATGTACCTAAATATTTATGAGAGGAATCTATTCACTAATGAAATTATCTAGATGTGAAAAAGAAACAGGTCTATTATTGGATAATATATTGATTAGTCTATTAATATTTCATTAATTACTAAATACATTGTGTCTATACACCAACTAATTCTGAATTCTGATTGGATATTATTTTCCTAATCCAATCCATACAAGCAATAACATGCAATCAAAATTAGGAATTTGTTTCAGACTGGTGTAATAATAGTATATGATTATTTAATAATAAATTTATTGGTAATTTATATATTGATCTATAAACCAATAAAAATAAAATTATTTTATGTGATGCAATTTTCAAAGTTGAGTTATATTATTCATTCTCTCCAGTTTACATTTAATTGCTTTTCTGTTTGTAAACCTAATGGTAGAAGCATGGGTTGTTTGTTTACTTTAGTTCTTATGTTTACATTTAGTTATTTACTTTTCCTGAGTTGTTTTTGTTGAAATGTATTTGTATCCTGTTTTTATTTGTATTGCTTCATATTTTAGAGTAGGCCTTACCTGCATATGTATAATGTTTTAATTATGCACAATTCAAGCAATTATTTCAAATTTATAATATTTTCCCTAGATAATGCAAATATTTATTTTCATATTTTTATCTTATTTTACTATTCAAAATTAATTATGTTGATATCTAAATATTTTTTAAAATTTTGGCTGTTAATATTTGTTTACATTTTAAATCTCTTAATAGGCTTAGAAATTGACTTTGTTATTTTAAAGTATATCTAGTGCATGATTTAACTAAACACATTATTTTATTATGTTAATTGATTTTATTTTGAAAATACTCATCTGTGTTAAAATGCTAATTGATAATTTACGTAACTGAAATCGACTCATAAAATTTACAGTCGATTTTAAAAATTCTCAGCAACTAGTGACCTATGACCAACGTTAAATTTGGATTGTTACCCAACATTTGGGACCTGAGCAGTATTCAATGCTTGCATGTAAACAAAGTAAGGCGCGACTTCTTTTTACCTTGTTTTGCCAACTTAGTTTTTTAAAGATTGTCAAAGGAGGGCGGAAAAAATAAAAATAAAATTTTGTTTTCTTAGTTTTGCCAAAAACATCCAGGTAGAAGAGAACATAAAACTAAAATTTTATTGGTGAATGTAAACAGTGAAGTAATGGGATGGTTAAATGCTTAATTTTATAATAAATTTATATAATTAGGAAGAAATAAATATACATATCATATTTTTGGAGATTTCAAGGCAGCAGCGGATGTAATAAAAATAAAGAAAAACTCAAAATTTTTTTTTTGCTAATTGCCCAAATATAAATATCATCATTATTGGCTGGCGGCGGGTTCGCTAAGGAAGGTTAAAAAAAAGTCTGGTCTGAACAGTCTATTTCTGATCAGAGACTTAATTGAGCCTGTATAGTACTGTAGATTCATTTCTGATGTTGATGTTAATTGTGCGTGTTATATTTTGTTTTCTTCATGTCTGTTCAATCCTTTGAACTTTAGGTACAGGTAATCAGAGCCTTTTAAATTAAAAATTAATTCATTGAGTAACTCAACCATTTTGTTTTACCTGTATGAGCTCAAAGCAAGGTTACTTTTAGTCGTATCTTGATTTTCATGCATTATATTGGTGAGTATAAATAAGCATTGTGGTCTAACAGCTTCCTCGTGGCGGGAATGTTTCCTTTTTACACGACCATTTCATTAATTTGTTCGTATTTGTAATTGCCAAATCATTTCAGAACAAAGGAATGATGTCATAATGATGTCACTTATAATTTTGATTATTAATATTCAATTGTCCTCTGGGAAAGGTGTAATAATTCTTGATCAAGATTTTATTGCAAAACATAATATAACTGCTACTTAATTCTATTGCTAATGAATATTCATTATGCCCCATTATTTATTTATCAATTGATAATTCAAATAATACGGTACCTAATCCAGAGAAACACTTGGTTGTAATAGATCTGCATAAAATTAAGTACAAAATAATAAGCAGAATAATAAAGATGATAATAACAATAACATGTTTTAAGTAAATCAATGGAAAGCTGCACGCATTCGATAACATGTTAATATAATACCATGTGTTATAATTATATATGTCTAACTGTTTACATAGTATTTTGTGAACAATAGGTTGTTTAATAGTGTTCGATTAAGAAGGCACTACTCTTAAATAAAGCGTGCAAGGCTTATTAAAAATAGAACACGTCTATAATAAGCATCACTCCACATATTCAAGAATGGCGCTTGGCGAAAAAAAAATGTTTGGTGTTCAACGCCTCTTCAAGGTCGGCCCTTAATAAAATAGTTTTTGGTACTTTCAGATTTACATGATTTAATTATCCATTTAATGTGGTTTTTTTTACATAGAATTTATTAATGTGCTTTACTGTAATTTATTCCACACGGTATCACCTCAGGTATTATTGATGAATATTTAATAAATAGACAAAATTTTATCTCCAGGTTGAATCATCTTAATATCGCGATCGTCACTATTAACTACTGCATAACATTGTCTAAAGGCTTGAATTGGCTCGTGTGAACCATTTTTATAGATAGTGGTATTAAGACAGAAATATCAGGAAATAAGTCTAACAAAAATAAGTTATTTTTACCCTAATATATGTTTAAAAAAGAAAAATATGTATAATACTAATGATTATATTACCATTGAAGAGACCTACAATCTTGCAACAAGTGTCAAAGAAATTAACTTTTTCAGTTCTGACATTCTGATTGTGAATATTTTTGACATTTCATTTTTGCCGATCGGCTGTAATTGACAGCTGGAGCAATGCGCCGTACTTCCATCGTGTTTCCTTTTGCTGAAAGTCAAAAGTGATTGTTACATGTTTAGGCACATTTCATTTTTAAAGAGACATAACTGTCAGAGGCTAGAAGTAAATGAAGATGTTTCAGGATTATCTCTGCTGTAATATTCTTAAGATTTTGCTGTCTTTATTGACACATTAAAGCATGCATTAAGTTAATGGTAATATTTGCTAAGTTCTCATTACATTCTCAGCTTGGTAACGGATCTTTATAGATCTTTTTCCCACTAAACTCAATTTGGCGAAACAGCCGTAAGAAATTGTCTTCCGTTCCATGAAATTGTCAGATTTCAGGTCTTGTCGTTAATGTGTGAAAAGGCTTTCTGCATACCTGTAGATATTCTCAACCTCTCTTGCCATTTATATTTAAATAACTATGCGTGTGAGTTTTTGTACTTTCTGCGTGTAAAGAGATGTCCAGTTATGTGATAGTTTCACACATGTTTGTTTGTGTGGAAGTGCGAGAATGAATATTGTTCTATTATACTCGTCCTTATTTACTATAGTAGATTGCAGAAGGGGTGTGTTTGACCTGTATATCTGCTAGCAGATACGGTGTTAACTAACACGGAGTGGAGTTAAATAGCTTGGTAGTTAAGATGCTTGCCTTCCAATCCCATGGTCCTGGGTTCAATTCCTGAAATGATAACAGGATTTTTTTTTCTCTTCCAAAACAACTCCCCACCCCCTAAGCCTCATAATGAGACTTAGTCTATGTAGAGCATTTTTGTGTGTACAATATGTAACGGGATTGCCACTTTAAAGAGTGATTAAGTTCACTGTTTGGCATACCCTTGGCACCAGTGCCAAAGCTGAATGAATAAAACAACCACCATGAAAAAAAATTATAAATAATGGAGCATTTAAAAATTGTGGAAATAACTTTGTTTAAATATATATTATTCATAAGATTTTTATGGTGTCAGTTTATGCAATAAACATTTGTTTACTATGAATGCCATGAAGCTTTCTGGAGTGTCAACCGATTTAAGGACTGACCATTTAGAATGTTATTTTTGGGACCAGGACTGCAGTATGTGCATGTCAACACACAAGTTTATGTACTGTATGTTTACTCTGTCATTTTGTGAGTGTCGATTGTGAATGAAAGGAATAGTATGCATCTCTAAGTTCCCAGCTATGTTTTTGTACGTAGGGTGGATTGAGGGGCAAGAGAAGTTATGAGATTAGAGAGAGGGGTGAGAGAGGATAGATAAGCAGTTTACATCAATAAAAAAAAAAGAACATAAAGTGTCTGTGTGTACCAACAATAGGCACTGTGTAGGTGGAAGTAATTATTAATGTTTATATATTACTGTTACTATGTTACTTCTACTATTATTGACATATTATTATTGTTATTAATATTATTGTCATTGTTATATTTTGTTGTTGAGCATATGAATTTTCTTATCGTGACATGGAATTTCTGACAAAATACATCTTATTCAGATATAATATGTGTAATGTTAATTCACCTTCATAGTTTCTTGAACTTTTTTAGTAAATAAGATATCATGCATATACAATTTTTAATTTAATTATTCAAATTCTGATGGACATTAGTAGTTTTTAAATTAATTATAGTATGTTTAAAAAAAAAAATGTGTATTTTCCTCAGCAATGAGTGCAGCCGAAGTCCAAGCACTGTGGAAGGAGGTGTCAGCAAATGTTGTTGACGAGAAGGCAAGTTCCGTATCAACAGGGGCAAGTTCATCGGGATCGTCAGTGGTCACACAATCTAGGCCCGTTGTAAAAGGCATCCCAGAGGGCGCTCTAATGCATCCTGCTGGCTTCTTGGTTGCTCCTCCACAAATGCATCCACAGGGAATGATGTAAGTGGCATGATTGAAGGATAGAATAGTTAACAATGGTGGAGAGTAAGCCCTGTCTACTCTTACGCTATAACATTATATGATATGCCCAGATTTAGGTATAATATGACATCGTCATATCCATATAAAGGGCACATCATACAAATTTGTCACATTGTTTAAAACAGTGAGATTATCTAGTAAAATAATGCTGGAAAACTCTCTCTAATAATGAAAATAGGTTCCCAGCTGGAGAGTGTGTCTACTATTTGATGCAGGTTTTTTTAGGGTTAAGCTCACAAGTCGGCGGTGGTAGGCCTAATTACACATTATTTCGGTTCTTTTTAGCACAGGCCTAGGCAGGGTTTCATATTTCATAGGCTTACTATTAATACAGCCAGCTCAACCTCACAAAAAGCAAGATGGATCACTTATTATTATTATTACTTATTATTTAGCTTATGATGCAATGATCAGTATAGGGATGATAGGAAAGAGTCTACTTGCCTGCTTGCAAAAGCCTTATTTTGAAAACTGAAAAGTATAGAAACAACTGTAAAACTTCAAATTAAAATTATGGAATCCAATAAGCTATTAAATTTCTATGAGACACAGTAGTGAAACAATTCACTTTTTACTGATTTGCAATTGCAAATTTTTTACTATGAAAAATCGTACCCAGTTTAAGGGCCAATGCAAAGAACATCAGGACATTCATGAATTTCTGTGGAAAATGTTTTCAACTGTTTGTTATAAAGTATTTAATGTAATTCACATCATATTTTTTTTACATACAATATTTTTTCATTGTTGGGCTTTGTGCAATATAATTGCCATTTATTTTTATAATCAAATTGAATAAAACAGTTTGCCCTCCAATTCAAGACCACTGTAATTCAAAACCACTTTTTTTGAAGTACTAAATAACAATCTTAAATCTTTTAACACACACCTAACCATGAGACTACCCCTAAATTGTCAGGTTTCAAATGTGGTCTCAAATTGGAGAGCAAACTGCATGTTGGGTTTTTGCTTTCAACATAACTTCCATCCAAGCTGAATTCTTGGATATCTCTTCATTATAAATTCAAACACAAAATATTACACACTACATCAAACAAAATTACAAACGTTCACACAAAAGGAAGCAAATTAACCAAGTACATTATAGTCATAATAGACAAGAAATTGCATTGCAATGTGAGGGGGAAAAAAACGTAATTACCTACAGTATGCAAGAAATCATGAATGATACGTCAATATAACAAATGTAATACACACATTAGAGTAAAGTTATCTATATCCTGGTCGTTCGAGCAAACGCCTTTGGAGCACATACTCGGTTCTCTTGGGGAGTATTCCATTTGGAGCTTGTAATGAGCATGTTAGCAATCAAGCCTACCAGGTACCTTCTATAATACTACTGGGTAAATAGAGACCGCATGAGTAAAAGTGCCTTCCCTAAAGGACGCAGAGGAAATAGAATAGCATGGGATTTCAAAACGCTGACCTCAAATTTGAGCTTTTAAACAGGATTCATAAGTCATTAATTATAGACCTCACGATCAGCTAAATTTGCTACAGTAATTAAAAATTTTATAAAGGGATAAAAGAGGGCATTATACTTTTTAAAATTTCATTTCCTGGTGCTACTGAGGTAAGGGATCAGTGCATGTTTTTCTGATTCCATCCAAAGAAAATTTTGACGTTCGAAGCACTGAGGGGTTGGGGGTGATTGAGATTTTTGTTTAGAAATTCTTGACCGTAGATATTGATTGGTACATGAAATTTAAATAAAAAAATTGGTTTGTTTTGGAGTAGCATGCTCTTCTGTTTCTTCGTTCTTTTCTTCCCCTTTTCTCTCTCTTTTTTTTTTGCGGACCCTAGCCCCCGTCTTCCCCGTCTTCCCCCATCCTGGATCCACCCCTGAATTACTCGTCCTTTCCCTTTTAGATGTCAATCAATCTATGTCAGTCAATGAATTGCATAGACATAATATGCTGTGCCTGAAAAATGACTGTGCACTTTTCATAGAAGCTAGGAGATATCTTTTATATGTATCAATTAATTGAATGGAAAGAGTATTCAGTCCGCTAGTTTTGTGCGTAAACATATCTAACACCCTAATCCTGATAAACAGGTATGGGAGAGTCCCCACTGCCATTACCAACTTTCTGCACCAGGATATACCCACACATTGTTATTGTTTATTTGTTCTCTACACAGTTAATAATGCAAAATCTTCATTAGTATAAAATTTGAAGCTGGCACGCTGCTATTTCAGTGTGAAGTTGCATTGGGCCCACTTTGACCATATTACAAAGCGTGTGCACTTTTTATGGCGTGACTACAGCAATTACGAAGCAGAGTAAACTAAGTATAAACAATATCTACATCTTGCACTAATTACAGAACAGAGAGCTCAGAATGTTTGCTTTTTTAGCAGGCATTATTAAGGATAAATGTGAGCCTAAACAAAGTGGCACTGCCAGTCGTAAACTCTTCAGGTTCAGGAAAACAATAGCTTTCGGAAGGATACATTTGAAGCCTCTCCGAATGGGTCATCATTTACAAATAAACATGGAAACGATAAGCAATATCGTCAACACATTAAGGAAACCAGTATAATCTGAATACACTGTTAGGAAGCTGGAAGTAATTAACTCGGCTTCCTTCTAACCTACATTTTAAACTTTTTTTTTCTTCATTATTATTTCACTTAATATCTTTCACATGACTGATTTAGGGTGAAGCACGCGTTATAGCATGCATGCATGCATGAGGAGAGTAAATATATTCTTGTAAGCATTAAATTAAAACTCATTGTAAGTCATTTTATAGATACTATAAAGAATTGACCTTGTTATAAAACATTCAGGTCAAAGTTAAAAGGTTAATAATGTGTACTACTTATAAGGAGACCAACATTATTATTGAAAGTAACATCAATCAATAAATATGAAAGGAAATGATAGCATTGCACAACGGTAATATTTAATTGGTTTGCGCCTTTAGTTTAGCGTATTGCTTTCGTGCGTTTCAGTGTCATTAGTGTTCTAATTTTATACACTGATATTTTATATTTATTTTTCGCAGAATTCCAGGAGAGGAGAGTGCAATAGGCTCCACAATACATCCACTGTATGGGCATGGGATGTGCAAATGGCCTGGATGTGAGACTAGTTGTGATGATTTCCCTAGCTTCCTAAAGTAAGTCCCTTTATTTGATTGATTGATTAATTTATTGATTGATTACCAGTGTCTTTAAAGTCGTGTTCAAAAACTGCATCCGTCAGCTGACGCAATTCTGAGGGCAATTCAACGCCACAACGCGTGCAACGGATTGTTTTTAATGACAATCTGCTCAGACTGTCACTGACAGCAGGCGACATCGCATCGTCTGGCGGTTACAAGGATCACATTTGGAATTGTCGGCCGACCATCATACAATGCAGTCAATAAGTACCCAGTTTCACTCTTAAGGTGGAGATGAGTTGGTGTTGAGCAGTTGTCTACCATCTTATGGGCAAAAATACCTTTCTATGTAAAGAAAAATTACCAATAAATGCACTGTTTTACCTAACTTGTCTTGTACTTGTCTCAATTCTGTAACAGCAGTTATTAAAGAGAATTTTTGTGAAATATTTAAATGTTTTTGGCAATCTGACAGAGATGCACACCATCCTCCATGGTACACTTACTTGCATACTGAAATAATTCTCACCTGTCAGACAGGGAAAATAAATCCCTCTCCCCTTTCCCCACCCATGTCAGCATACCATGCTGCACCTACATACGGGCAATAGTTCTGTTTTAAAACTCAATAAACATTAATCATACGGAGATTTTAGTTTACCTTTGAATTTTAAAAATATCTACAAAGTGAAAGTCTGCATAACTTCAGATCTTTTATGCTTTAATAACATTTTCACCGAGAGGTTAAGATAGAACGTAATATTTATATTTTTAATCATCATTCTCTTGGTTTACGATATTAAAAATGGACTGGGGATGGAACAATTTGATAAATTATGAGATCATGCCAGATTCAAGTCGTAGCTCTGAAAGATGATATCATTTGGAATGTTCAATAGAACATGATTTCCAATTTGATTATTAAATTGCTCAAGAAACCTTGAAGTGGCTGATGTATGCGATTTGGTTTCACCTTTGACAAAAGCCTTAGGGATATTGATAAACAAACAAGCATATTCATAATTTTTCACGCCAAATTCTGCTAATAGTTAAGAAGCTATTATGAGTACTAAGTGCATATCCCTAATAAGGAATTTTAAAAATTGTAGGAAATTTTGGTGGTATTTCTAAAATTGGTGTTTTGAGACAGGTTTAATTTTGAGGTATGTTTAATTTGTAGGTGGTTTTTTTTAGGAGAGTGATGTGTAAGATTTTCAGCAGTAATAAATAAATAAATTTTAGAATTTTATTGCATTTAAGGATATTATATAACCATCTCCCACCCTACCCAAAAAAAACAAACATGATTCTCATTCCCTTCCTACCTTTTTTTTTGGGGGGTGGGGGTGGTGGGGGTGTATCATCACCTCAACTCTTTTTACTTCCATTATTCTGCAGAAATGCAAATATATCATACCAAACAGTAAGTATAAAAAAACTGTTGTATGCCCATATATAGTCATGATGTGCCTATATATGGTCATCATATGATGTCATCATGACCGTATTTAGGCATGTCACATGTTTTTGTCTAGTAAAGTTTGATAGCCTGGACAGGGCTTTATATCAATATGATTGTGGCTTTGTTATGGTCATACTTTGGTCAGGGGCGGATCCAGAAGACCTCCTCCCCCGTTTTGCCACTAAATTCCACAAATTTCAATTCATGTTAATGTTATGTGCTACTCGCTTATCTATATTCTGAAACTGCCCACCCCCCCTTCCCCCGCAAATGGCATAGTACTATAAAGTACATCTGAAGATGAAGATACAAAGTTGAACATTTCAAAGTACCAACAGTACTTATGCAAGGTCCTCAGTATCGATCCAATGGATGGACAGACTTATCTACAGCAGTGTCTTGGAAGAAGTAAATATTATCAAGAGCATGAATTGAAAAATAATAGGTTACCTAAACAGATTTCAGAATTACAAAATAGTAAACGAGCTCATAGCAGACGAAAGCATTTCTGAGACCCGAACGAAACTATTAAGTACAACCCAAAGCGGTGTAATACAGACAGGCACCTGGGAAATTGGTGCTAAATATAGACAAACCTGAAGGTCGACTGTGCGTGAAGGAGTCTGAACATTTAGAAGAGTAGTGCAATGAAAATATAAATGGAACTAATACCTGCCAGAGAGCTCCGTCAGAACCCTCACTCGCTGATGGCATAGTCAAGGTGTACAACTGCCCCAGCGGCCAGATTAAGCTAGTCAGTCATGGAAAGGAACATAAATAAAATACAGACACCATAACCGAAGGAGAGTGGTACAGCAGAATAGGAAATATTTAGTATTGGATATGGACCCAGATAAATTTCTTGAATGCTTTTAGAACAGTAAATAGTATTCTAGATTTACCCAAAAGAATATTTTTTATTTCATTATGATGATTAAATGTGTGTTCGATAACTAATATAATACGAGCTTTTTTTGTTTTTAGTACATGTTGATGGTAAATTATTAGGTTTTAAAATGCCTATTCCAGAAAGCCTATTCTAAACTATTAAGATTATGAAGTCATTCAGGCGTAATGAACGGCAACCAACGTCTGGTTGACAACAAAGGGCGCCACCTGGTGTTGTGACGATACGACTGTTGTACTCTATAAGATAAACATGGTTTTCTTGTAGGTGTTCTTGATTTGCCTGATGTAGATTTAAGGTGCAACTGTTCTTCGAATATGTAGAGCTTTTTGTTTTGAATATTTGTCAAATTGTAGAGAAACAAGAACTATTTCATCATTGCAGGGGATCTTAATATGGTGCCTGTTTGTTGTGCATGTTAGGGGGTCAAACACCGAATATTTGTTCAGTTGGGTAGTCAAATATTAGTTGTTTATGTAAAATATGCTTTTAAGAAAGAAAAAAAAAAATTATGTTTATACATAGTTGGGGTCAAATAGTTTCTGTTCGTGCATTTGTCATAGTTAAGAATAAAATAAGCATGGTTGGGGTTAGATGTTGAGTGTTTATGCATGTTAGGAAGTAAAATAGTGTTATGTTTATGCATGGTAGGGGGTCAATTAACTTTTGCTTACGTAGTGCAATTGGTTAGATACAAGATGTTTTTATATAAAGATTGGTTGTAAGAAAGATGGGTATATGAAGTAATTGTATAATTGTATTTTTTACATTTTTGGAAGATTTTTTTTTTATTATTTGTAACCACACATATTAATAGTAAACTTACTATATATTAGTATTAGTGTTACAAGGCAATACAAAAATCCTATACATATGTGAGACTAATTTTGGAATTTGTGACTCAGTGACATATTTTATTTATTGATTTATTTGGGTATAATAATGTCTCTTCACATTCATGTATCTTACTCCAAACTATACAGAGTACGTTATTGTTCTACTCTTTAGTTAAATGCTATTTCTTAAATGAAGCTACTATTCAGTAACTTCCCTTCAGCTATACTTTTTTTTCCATGTCAATGTACATTTGAAGTTATGTACCAGATTCATGTGTTATGTCCAAAAAATAGTAATAACAATAAAATAAAAATAAATAAATAATATTATTAGTAGTGAATTTATAGCATTCATTGAGAGAAAACCTCCAGACCAAAGCTACTATCATTTAGAAAAAAGAAAGATGTCTTCAAAGAGAGAGAGAAATTATCAAATAATGTTCTAGTAGTAGAAGCATCAAAATAAGTGATAAAAATAATCCTGGATTTTTTCCCCAAGTAGTTCAGCATTAATAATTTTTATGATGACCCGCAGTCAGAAACTTGATACGAAAAGAAATTTATGCAAGGGTTTCAACAGAGTATTAAGTGGCGGTCGTCTTTTCGTCTTAATTTTGTGTCAAGTCTCTCCTTGATGAGGCTCAAGCAAACGTACAAGATTTCCTCCACAATGAAGCGAAGTCAATTTTGGGATTAAACGTCGTTGAATAAACCGATTGTCATCGAGTAGGCATTCGATTGATAGTGTTGAGCTGTAGAAACAATTTAAGGGATAAAAACCCTTGGGAATGATGATAACGTCTTCGTGAATGGATGTTGGGAAAAAATCGACTATTTTGTGCTCTGTCTCTAAGGCTACTTGAAACCTTGATGGCATTTTGTTAATTCATTTTACAAATTGGGTATTTATTTATGTCCTTATTTGTTTCATGCTGAAATTGCTTGTAACCAAATGGAAATTTGTATTTCATGGCCATTTTGTACATAAACTTTACATCTTAATTCCAGAGTTAGCTTTTAGGTGAAGAAACTTGGTGCTGTTGAACTTTTATTGATGAATTAGCAAAAATAATTCATGTTTGATATTTTGTCTACATATTTATGTGTATGTATATAACGTGTATATATATATATATATATATATATATATATAGTTTATTATTATTTATTGTTTATTTAGACTTACACTTTTAAATCTGTGAAAACAGTGCATCCAAAACGTGATTAGAAGATACATCAAATTTAAAGAGCAATTAAAACTTAAAACCAACTCAAAACAGATTAAATTAATCCCTTCTTCCATTCCCTCCTTCCCTAATAATTCAAATTTTATTCCTCCCTACTAAATATATCTACTAAACTTTAACCCTTATTTTCAAAAAATACAAAGTACTAAGTACTCTCTCCTAAAACAATGCAAACATTAATCCCTTCCCCTTTAAGACAATTTTTATGTTTCTCTTTTCATCATTATCAATTTGTTAGGCCTAGATGTTACAATTTTATATAATTTTGTGTATGTATGGGATGCTTTTTTTCCACAGCATTAATTCAAATTTTAATTCTTTGCTTCTTCATGCTCTTCTGTGCGTATTGTTTTTGCTGCGAGTGGGAGTGTTATAGCATTTTTTAATATTAACCTATTTTTTATTCCATTTGTTCTGTAAAGGGTTCAACTCATCAAAAGAATTTTTTCTATTTCCTTCATTTTGTTTCTCTAATGTATTTTTAATTAATTGAAATAAATTTAAATATGAAATTTTAATTTTTTTAATTTTTTTTTTTCTCATTTAAGACACATTAACAATGAGCATGCTCTCGACGACCGGAGTACGGCGCAGGCTCGTGTTCAGATGCAAGTAGTGAACCAATTGGAAATTCAACTGGCCAAAGAACGTGAACGGCTAGCGGCCATGATGGCACATCTGCATATGAAACCTCCAGAGCCGAAGACATCTGTAACTTCATCTGTATGTAATTCATGTTTAATATTTGTACTTAATGTTTCGCCTCTTTCATGCTTTTTGTTTTTGATGGTTTTTGTCTTCCTAATGTTTCTTTTCATTTGGAATTGTCTCTTTGTTCAGTGGTAATTTTTCTTTTATGATACTTGTTCTTAATATACTAGATTTTGTGTTGAGAGCAAAGGTTTAACACTACTGACATACTTCTGTGTTAGAATTTTTATTTTTGCTTTGTTCGAAATTTTTTTTTTGTGTCTTTATTTACGATTGGTGTTCTATTTTAAATTTATATTATTTTTTTGACAATAGTGATTTATATAGCCTACGACAATAAATAAAATTGCCATCGTTACAATTGTTAATACCTAACTCTCCATTTTATACTTTTATCATGATAATTATCTCCAATCAAACTATCATCATCTTCTTAATTACCATAATTGAGATATTTTTTCGCTTATTTTGCGCAATGTTTGACGCATTATCAGTCATCAACAACGTCGTTGCAATCGTCATCCTCGTCTCAATTATGTTCATAATAATTTTCCTCTGTGTTATTAAAATATCACCATTGTCAGGGACACATTATACATTTACATCATGTTTACCTTCAATAAGTACGTACGCCTCTTTGACTTCTTACTAGCTTTTGTCTCATTGTTACAGCATCTATCTTATGTCAACTAAACACATTTTATGTTTCTTCCGCAGGCAAGCCCTCCAGCTGCCAAATCTGTCATTGTTCAATCACCAACTGTCGTCCAGTCACCCCCTGCTCATCTTCCCCCTCCTCCAGCTCCACAACATATACCACCACCCCAAACATTACAAATTATTTCCTCTAGTCCAAACATGCCCTCTCCACATTCTCATCCTCCTCCACCTGCTAGCCCTATCCATACCTCAATTAGTTCCGGCCCTATTCGAAGGCGTATGAGTGAAAAATATGGAATAACATTGGATTCTGGTAAGTGTACAGTGAGACAAATAACAAAGGGGAAAATGATATTAACCATGATAGCCTTATAAATAGAAACGCCATTAGTATTGTTTGTATTGTCAATAGTAAACGAAGCCAAGATTATGAGTTTTGCCCGTCTTGTTTTAAAAATAAACAAGCACATGTTGGCTGCCTTGCAAACAAACAAAAAAAGGATTGAAACTAAACTGGAAACCCACTTACATTATTTTTGTAGATGTTATCACAAAGTTGTTGTTGTGTTAGTCAATAATGTATCCATAATTAATGATATTTTTTTTATAGTTATTTTATCAGCTGTAAGCTGGTAGTTTAATGTGTTGTCTGAACTTGTAGTTTGTTACTTCACAACGTTAAGATATATACTTTATTTAAAGGGTATTTTAAAATGTTTTACAAACCAAATGAAAATGTGTATTAATCATCTTTATCATTAATATCATCATCGTCATCATCATGACATCATTATCATGTTCATTTTTTTATTTTATCTTCTCCATTAATCCTTATATTCATGATGGAGTATTATTACTACAGTATCTTCATTGTCACAGTCAGTAACACCTTGTAAGTTATTGTCATCTGTAGTACACTGTTAAGTACTCCGCTTGAGGTTACCAAATTATCTTATAATAAGTTTATTGTTAATGCTTCCTAGGCTAAACAAATTTTCTCATATATTGTAGGCTTCTTGTATTTTTCTTTTTTTCTTAAATTTATTATTTGGTGTAGAAATTAATATACTGCTTTATTCTTAATCAGTTTTTAAATAGTGTTTATAAAAATACATTATTATTTAATATCACTTCTCGCGCTGTTTTTTTTTTATTTGTTTTAATTATTGACACAAATTTTCATAAAATATGAAAAACTCAAAAATTTGATTTAACATCTTTTGCTAATTTACAGATATTTTATTATAAAAATTCTTAATTACCAGCCAATTTAAGGGTCTATGCAAAATATTTTTTATGTAATGCAAGAAATTAAATCCATATGCCTATGGAAGTACTTCTCTTTACCCTATAATCATTAAGGCATGTTGCTCATTATTGAATTATTATATATTTCTAAATGTTGCCATTCCTTTTACTTTCTAGGCCTGACGCTAGGCCTCCATAACTTACCAGCTGAGCACCATCGTGAGTAGCAAACAATACTTATCCTTAATGATAAAGCATCACTTCTTACTGTATGTTATTTGTTTGCAATGTGTCAGTCATCCCTGTTATTGCGCAATCTACTAAGTTGAGACTATGAAATTTGATTTGACAAAAACATGTGACATGATTAAATTTGGTCATAATGACATCATATCATGACCATATATGGGCACATCATGACCATATATGGGTACATCGTGACCATATATAGGCACATCATGACTATTGTTTTAAAGGTATATTGTCTGTGATGAGCAAATTGACATTAAAATTCAAAATTGTGTATTTTGTATTTATTTATAAGTTAATCGCTTTAAATTGGAAATTAAATTTTCCTTGCCTCTTATCAAGTACATAAATATTGGCTATATATACTTATAAGTTACTTAAATAATTAAAATTTGCTGGTAATAAACTTAAGGATTTTTATTGTTAAAAATCTGTAAAGCAGTGAAAATTAAATTGTTTTGATTTGTGTAAACTTTCAATAGAGTACTTCAATTTTAATTTATATTTTTTGTGTGCTTTTGTATAATGAAATATTGACAGTGAATAGGTATTAAACTTTAAGTATCACAGACTGTAGTAAATTTTCTCCTGATTATAATAAATAAACTTTGAAATGTTATTAATGGTGAACTTTATAGGAAACAGCAAGATTGTAATGACCATAAGAAAATCGTAGCGAAATTGAGCCATAATACATGGGGTCAAACTCCTAATATAAACAGTAATGAAAAGAGTAGTGGGATATTATGGATGGACATTACAACATTAAATGTTTAGCTAGAGAGTATAGAGTTTCATAGTCATAATAACTTAACTGCCGTATCCGCACCCATTACTAAGCTATTGGAGATCAGATTATAATGAAAACTAAATTGATTCAGTAGTTAAATTTCGTGAACAAATATTATTTTATATATAATTGAGAACTCATAAATTCAGTTAAATGTTCTTATAAAGACGTGAAATTCATATTCACTATGAATAGTATCATTCAATGGCGAATCTAGGATTTTTTTGGCCGGGGATTAGCGACCTATGATTTGTGGTATTTCCTTCCTGTTTTGGAATGGGCCGGGCTATTATAATCCCTGGCTCCAGAGTCTTACCTATCGCAATTTTTGAAAGCAAAAAATTTATTACATTCCGAATTGTAATCCTGTTTAAATTTGGATTCTAAATAAAACAAATGACAAGTTTCTTTAAATGTTCTTTCGTAAAACTTAAACTGAAGATTTATTACATTATTTCAGCAACTATCGGTTAACATTTACATGTAGTCATGAACCATTACTTCTTATAATGTATGTGGGTGTATATTTATATATTGTATGTTAATATAATGTAATGATTTGTATTGTGTGGGTTTGTTGTGCATTGTCTTGTTTGATGGCTTCCATTTCCTTTGTTATTTGGGGGTCAGAGCATCTTGTGTATGTTAAACTGTATTTGATGATATTAGATGCAGCCTGTGTTGTATCAACACTTAAAACTCGTTGGTAAATAGCTACGGATGCTATAATGTGATTTACTTCTGCGGGCAGATGTTTCTCTGTTTATCCAAGGATTTCAATAATATCATATGGTTTTAAAATAATACATGGAAGAAAAATAAACAATATCTTTTGAAAACATGGTTGTAGTGAAATTCACCCAGTCTGGTTCATTGATTGGGCTGGAGGACTATAGAGGGCACTCTTCTGCTTCATTTAGAATCATTTTAAAGACGTAAATAAAGTATAATGGAGTAGTATGTCTTTTTAAGACATTTAGATTACTTTAAAATTATTTATGATTAATTTGTATATACACTATACAATATAAGCAAGTTTTTAACCTTTACATTGAAAATTTTAAGAAAATAGTTTTGTAACCAAATTATAATTATAATTGGTTGGTAATCAAACATATCTGTCTGTAAATCAGTGAAAATTTGTTATATGTGTCAAATTGAGGAAAATCCAATCTCATACCCTTATATGACCAATTCATTTTTAAATTGATCTTTTTAGGGTTTGTTTTAAAAGTTTTTAATTTCTGTTTTCTTGCAACTTTATGTATTAAAAATGCAAAGCTCCAATCTCCCATCTAATATCTTAACCTACTCTTTTTCTCTCAACTCTAGAAATTCAGAAAAATTGTGAATTCTACCGAAATGCAGACGTGCGGCCACCTTTTACATACGCAGCTCTGATTCGCCAAGCAATTGTGGAATCGCCTGTAAGGCAACTAACCCTCAATGAAATTTACAATTGGTTTACAAGAACGTTTGCGTACTTTAGAAGAAATGCTGCTACATGGAAGGTAACTAACATGTTGGTTTTTTATTCAACAATATAAATTTAAAATTTGAGAGGGCATCGGGCAGCAGTGGCATGACAGGCTGATGATGATAATGATAGTAATGGTAGAGGTAGGAGAATGACCTAACCTATAACTCGCAGCGTCATTATGCTGAATTGCGTATGGGCCTGGTCTACTACCTAGCCGCCGTAACGAGGCATCTAGTTTAGCTACATATTCACATCCTTCAACAACGACAGGTGCTGAAATGAACCATAATATCGGGGTAACCACCTACTCTTCCGAAAGTTACAATGGGTTCTTTGAAGTGCACATAAGCCAGATGTATACCCTGGACCTCCATTTTAAGTCCACGACGAGTGGCTCGAAAAAGCGCCAATGTTACGGCTCTAGTTAGCGGCGCCCCTGCCTTACCGCCTTTGCCACTTGACTTGCCCAACGATGATGATGATGATGATGATGAATTTTAAATATATAAAGCTCTGTTTGCACAATTAAGTTTGTGACAAATTTTACCTGTGATTTGTCCCAAAATGATATGATATTTGTCGCATGAAACTTGATAGGACAGAGCTTAACATGTTGTCTGTCACTGACGAAGGACACCATTTATACTAGGCCATAGAAACACTGGTTCTCGTCATATCACCAAAATAATTATTAAAATTATTCAGTCAGTTAATAGATACTAGGCGATTGACATTCAACAAACAAAAATTCCTTTTTGATAATCCTTTAAAAAATTGCAAAACCTTGGATGATTGCCCAGGGCTAGTTGTTTTTTTATTTTACCCCACTAGGTTTACACATTAATTTATAGCCAGGCTCTGGAAAATCATTTTTGATATATTGTACAACTGATTTTTAAGACACAAAAAGTTCGAGAATGGTTAATGAGATACAGATTTTTGAATATTTAAAAACTGGGAGAAAAGGGTTGTAACCACCTTTTTTTTTCCACTTTTATCAAAAATGTTTTTCCCTTTGGAGCCAGGCTTTAAATTAAATTTTATTACATAAAATAGATTTCTTTCCAGATCAGATATAAGTGTGTATATTTACCATGTGAAGCATAATTTTTTTTGCATATTTTCTGATTTCATGTTCATCATGTTTCATAATCGTCATGAAAAAAATAATCAAATTTTCTTATTCTTTGTTACATGAAAATATTTCACTACATGCAATAGAAACATTTTTTTTAAAATAAATTATTTGTATTATTTTATAGTGTTATTCCTATATTATCTTTATTTACATCTTACATTTTATTTATTTCATGTAATTTATTTATTATAAGATTGATCACAATAATCAACACTTCATCGCATTTACTAATACCTTTTACTTATTCTAGAGCTAGTGAATTCAGAACACTGTAATTTATGGAGCATCTTTTTTTTTTCTAACTGACAAGTGTACTAAAAGTTGGATATTAAAGACATAAAACCAAATAATAATGAATTGTAAAAGTGGTCAAGAAATATAAATGCATATCAAGTAAGGAACAGATAGAAAATTTCCTCTAATCGGTTGTAAAAGCCAGTTACATTTCATTGCCGAACGATAAAAATGTTGCTCGTATGCTAATGAAGATCCTAACGACTGTTACCTTAGATGGTAAACTAATTTAGGAAGTATTGAATGTGAAATTTATTGAGATTGCTACTGCTATAGGATATATGAGCAGAAATTAAATCAGCCGAACTCTGGGTTTATTTTGTCAGACATTTTATCGTTAGCGAACATGAACCGAGGCATGTATTAAGCTAGCGCTAATTCGCTCAAAGTTCTCTAGCCATGTGGCTTTAGTTAGTATTCATGTCATTCGTAAGGCATTGCCAGAAATTTAGGGAAAATGTAACAGAGACTTCATGGTAAAAAAGAAAACAATCTTTAATAGTTGCTGATGTTATTATTTTTTTATTAAAAAGACTACACTTCAGGTTTCTCCCGAATTTACAATTTTGTCAGTAAAAATAACAGGCCAACCAGTAAAAATGTTGTGTTTGGAAAATATACGGAACCACTGATTTAAGGTCTAGACTGGCTGCCTTTCAATATGTCTAGGCTATGACTGTATGTGTTGTTGTTTTTTCAAGTGATTAAACCCCACTCAAAAGGGGTAACATTTCACATTGGGTGCATTTGTGACTTTATGGACAAATTTACAAGTAAACATTTTTCAATTGGAGAACACTGCACTGGTATGAATGGGCCTGTGGTTACTTTATTTCTTTATTATTTTAATTATATAATTGCTTGCTGCCAGAAGAAATAACTCGGCAGGATGCAGTGAGGTTTCTAGGGGTTAATTAACTTAATCACGGCCAATAACAAAATGGAGACTAGATAGTGCCTTTGTTAAGGCCTGTTACTATTGGGTGTGGTAGCAAAGAGAAACTAAATTTACACTAGACAAGATAGTGACACGACAACAACATATCATTGTGTAGTTTGCGTTCTTCAACCCTGCGTGCATCTGTATCGTGTCGTCGTGTCGTAATCATGTCTATTGTAAATGGGGCTTTATTCAATAATTGCACTGGTAGTAGGACTGCCACTGACAACAGTAAATAATGGCCAATTTGAGTCAACAACATGTGTGCATTAGCCTTTTTGACATACATCCTATCTACTCCCAGGCTATGTCCAGTCTACATAAAGTAACTATTGACACAGTAACATTGATCATTTCTCAGCCTAAAACTGCTTCTAAAGATACATTTGTTTTCAAAGTAGATCTCACTGGGCTGTCCAATTTTTCTGTTTTTATTTTTTGAAATTTGTTTCATCTGGTTTTATTGTGTCTTATCCCTTGGCAAAAGGTGCAGTATAAATTCCTGTATTATAATAATAATTATTATTATTATTATTATTATTATTATTATTATTATTATTATTATTTAAATACTGTGAGTACACAAAATTTAAAACCTAATTAAAACTAATTCAATTTAAGCTAATAGTTACTTTTTTTTTTCTTTCTAAATTTCAATATAAAAAAAATTAATTTGTGACGGTGAAATCATGCTAACTACTACATGCTGATTGGTCAGATTGTTGCTTTTCCTTGCAGTATATTTTCAAAAGAAAAAAATCCATTGCACGCTGTATACATTTGCTGGTGTCGTGTTTGACATGGATGCTCCTATAGTTCTAATAGATTCTATTTTCTTTTACCGTTAACACGTTCCATTAACGCCTTCAACGGAAATTGGCCTTTATTATGTGTTTCCCTTCACTTGAGCTAGGAGAGTTTCAATGATGTTTAATTAATTAAGCCTATATCCATGATTGCAAAGCGTTAGATGTATAAGTAGAATTATCATCATTTCCTAGGCTTCATCTTCCTCCTTGTCTTCCCTCATGGGACCGATAGTGTAAATAACATTTTTTGTTCAAGAGGATATGAACAGTAGCCCTTAGAGCATTCCTCACTCAGAAGGATAGCATAGTAGCCAGTCCTTATAAAATAATGTATTTCAGCTATTTGAAATAAAATAAAAAGTATTTTAGGACAAAGCTCATTTAAAATCTTTGAAACCTTCTCAAATCCCGAAAAATTGTGAAATCCCAAAATAGTATGATATGCTGTAATAATAATAATGTTAGACAGATAGCAAAAAAAAAATACAAAAAATAATTGCCTCTATGAGCTTACATGAAAAAAAATGAAACAGAACTATGAAATAATGTAACACTACCAAGAAAACAAACTAAAAGAAGATTATTTGTTCACGTATCCATTCTTGAGAATGGCGTGAAAAGTGTTGCATACAGCTTTTTGAAGCCAGCAAATTTAAGAGCTCACCGGATCATTACTCAACAGAAACTTGAGTGAAAAGCAGCATCTAATTAACCTATCCTACAAATATCAAACCGTGAACCTACTATATAGGTAAAGATTTAATAACATGTATATATTAGTATTTAAATGCGTCAGATGAATTTTGTAACCTAGTTAATGGAGAAGGTAACCAGAAGTCCTTATTTACTGTTGATTGGAGATTGTGTTGTGGTTTGTCTTAGTGTTCAGTATCAACAAAGTTGCTTCCTTGAATACAAACACAGCACTCAAATACATTATTACCGAATGCAAGATGTGCAGTCTGTGGGCTTGTTTCCCTTGACTAGCCTGTATTTGTTATTAATTGAAGTCTATTTGCCTGCGCCTTGTTTAGCCAATCCTCTCCTACCTTCTGATTCTGTTTGTCGTATTGTTGACATTACTTGGTGTTTGTTTGTGAATGACCCAGATCGTTTCACCTTTACTGGGAATGTATGTTAACATCATGTTGCTTACTATCTCCTCTCATATCTCAATTTGCAATACCCTGTCATAATTTTTTTTTTCGTCTGAGTCGCAATTGTTTAGATTATTCTTATAGTTTGAGGTTATTTCGGATTTATTTTTCTTGGCAACAAAAATATTTATATTCTTTCCTTTCTAAGTGAATGTAAACAGATTAAGACAATGAAGAAACATGAACTGTCTATTTTTTGTTTTGTTTTCTATTTTCATCCATTTTTTAGACAAAACACAAAGGACGTCTCTTATTTTTATTTCGTGAATTTCTTTTGTTTAACTAGATACAGAATAAATTATTGCATTCTTTTCTGGTGCACTTCTGAAAGGAAAGAGAATTTGAATGGTAAAAACTGTGGAAGTGCTTTTTACAATACTTGCTACTTGACTTAATTTTACTTACTCCGGTACAAAACAACATTGTTTTAGTGTAAAACATAAATAAAAAATCTAATTACTTTTTTTGTATAAATTTAAAATTATTATTAATTTTACCATACAATGTAATTTTCCAAAATAACAGTGTTATTAGTGTGATTTTTAAATTGTTGATATAAAGTATAATTTACAGTGTAATTTAAAAAATATGTTTTTGTTATTTTTTTTTATTTATAAAGATATAGACAACTTAGATATTTTTATATTGCAAAATGTCAGTAAATCATTTTTTTTAAAGTGTATGTCTAATTAGGTGTTTGACCATATATGGATGTGATATGATATCATCATGCCCATATATGTGTAAATATATTTCTCAATGCAATCAGCTTGAACAGATCCAGCGCAGAGCGCTGCGAATCATTGTCCCTGATACAAGCTATGTTAGAGCACTGGTCCTTGTCGATATCCCAAAGTTGGCAGACCGGCGCACCCGACTATGCAGACAATACTTCCAGAAAAAAGACCAATCACACAGACTTCACTCACGTTTTACCAACTTCCCCACCCATAAATACAACCTCAGGTCCACACAACAATTCCATCTCCCTAAAGTTCGAACAGAACGGTAAAAAAATTGTATTATTAATGCTGGTCTTTTCAGAAAATGGTAGGTTGTCTCTGCACAGTCGGGTGAACTGCTCCAACAATGGCCGAAACGGTTCCCTTTTTTCTTTTTGTAATCCCCTAATTTTCACAATACATTGTATAAATATAATAATAATAATAATAATAATAATAATAACAATAATAATAATATTGTTATAATTATTGTTATTACTTTGATAATAAGTTTGATAATATTCTCTGTTTTGCTCTTTTGTGTAATTTTATTTACCGTCTCCATTTTGATGTTTTTAACTTTTTAAGGCTATTTTTAAATTTCTTATGTATATGCAATTCAACTGTTTTTAGTTGCGAATAAAGTATATTGTATTGTATTGTATTGTAAATCACCTCAGCAAACTTGCTAGAGGAGATAGAGCTTTAGTGTCTCGTATCCCCATCATATGCTGGACTGCATTTAGCTACAATTGTTTTCACTTTTTTTTCAAGCCAAATTGAAATTTACCTCTGTTTACACATATAATAATTTTCAACCTCCAATTCCGCTAAATGCACAAACAAGACAGCAATAAACAACAATAAAATGCAAACTGGAAATGAAGCGGAAACTGTTACAGGCAACTGCTGCTAAGTGGATTACAAGAACACACATGTTGACATTTTAAACTTGAATCACTTAGCAAGTTGATCATTACTTAGACAATCAATTCTTTCATTGCTAACTCAAGATCTCTGAGGATGCTAATGACTATGTTGTTGTTGTTTTTTTTTTACTTCCAGAATGCAGTACGCCATAATCTTAGTCTTCATAAGTGTTTTGTCCGTGTCGAAAACGTGAAGGGAGCGGTTTGGACAGTCGATGAATTAGAATTCATGAAGAGAAGGCCGCAAAAACTTCAAATATCAGGGTGAGGCCGGTGCTTGTTTATTGTCGACGCTGTTCACTAATTTATAACATTTTCATATGCATACAGATAAAAAGTTATTTGAGCTCTGCTATAGTAATATTAAAGATACTAGAAATACAAGATAGAGTTCTCCACACAAAAAAAGTGTTCCACTGTGTTCCACCGAAATGCATGGTGGGAATACGAAAAATGGGACGCCCCCTACAGTTGGAT